CATCTCTATGCTGACGGATACCAAATGGTCGACGCTCCCGGAACTAGGGCAAATGCTCTATCTATGAAAGCCTCCGTCTTCTCAATCCATTCATCAGTCAAAGCACGCTGACTTGGGCGGCCCATGTACATCCACTCACGGTCATCCATCCTCTAACACACACACACACACACACACACACACACACACACACACATATATACACACCAGCGAGACATTAAGAATCAATTACATGTACACGATGTTCCTACCATCTAATAAGTCAGGATAGGTCCTAATCCCACCCGAGGATGCGTAGCTGGGGTTAGTCTCTATGGTCTACTCCGATCTGAGACAGAATTTCGGCAGCACCTCCCCGTTGTTCTTCAAATACACGTCCCGGTAGGGAGATTGTGTATCCGGAGAACAACAGGAGATCTTCCGAAACTCGCTTCGAACGGAGTAGACCACTTAAGACTAACCCTATCTACGCATCCTAGGGCTGTCCAAAAACGTGGACAATTGAAGCAGATCACGGTTATCGATATGCAAAGAGCTGCATATTTCCAACCGTATCTCTTTGAACGGGAGGAGCGCCTTTACCGGGTTACGTGCTCTACAAACATGCATCATACGGAAAAGAGGGGTGTTTTATGCCTCACCTCGCTGTCCCGCAAACAGGAGAAGCCTCAACCACTACAAGGTCCACGGAACACCAACAAACAGCCAGAAGCCTCAGTCCTCCCTAAAAGAATAAGTCATTTCACACGAGTAAATAATTACCTTTATATCACCATAAACAAAGTAAAAAGAATCAAGATAATGGATACATGAGGTCAGTAAGAAAGACACTTCTGAAGCAGTGAATTTGTGATGGAGTAAAATCTATTGCAAAAGGCTATGGGCAGCAATACACGCATCAGAGATTAAAAGGCCTGTATAAACCTATGTGCATATTGACGAAGTTACTAAGAAAGCCATTAATTACACTTGATCAGTAAGCAAATTTGCATGTAAAAAAACAAATAACAATCCCTTTAACCCTTCAAAAGTAAAGAAAACAATGTGATGAAGTACATAACCCCAAACAAAAACATCAGTGCCGCCGCCGAGGCCGATCGGCACTTAATTATACAGACGATAATGACTGATTAGACTCCACGCCGTCCACGTGTGGTGCCCGCAGGATCGAGAGACACTCGTTGTCGACGTAGTCGTACCTTGCCATAAATGCCCATGGCAATCGAGAGCGACATCTATCGCACCAATTAGGTGTTCCTGGATCGGTTACTGGCACACACGGCACAACTAGGGATGAAAATGGATCGGATACGAACGGATATCACTCATATTATATTTGTTTTCATATTTTTGTTCGGATTTGGATTCGGACACGAATAGCGTTCGAATACATATATGAATATGGATTGACTCGGTTACGGATACGAATAATGAGTATCGAATATGGTATGAATCGGATTCGGAGAAGGTCGGATACAAATATCTATTCGGATATTGAGTAAAAGCAGCATATATATATATATATATATATATATATATATATATATATATATATATATATATCATACGTGCGCAAACCATTACACCACTCTATGAGTCCATAATCCATCTAGATTAAGCCGAAAGACTAAAGAGTAAAGCCGCAAATAAGATAAAGATACAGATACATCATACATCAAACATCATATAAGCACCAATCTTCGCGGCATGAGTAGAAATAGCCAAGCACATTGCTTCATGGGTCTCATGGAGTCATGATCATGGATTCAAGATCTACAATCCTTATATAGGCCATTTTTTTCATTTTGAGAAAGTTTGAACAAAATGTAATTCAAATTTCACAAGTGTGTGACATAGTTTTAGAAAGTCTGTATGAGATTTAAGAATTTGTGACTAGTGTTTGATAAAACTTTCTCAAATGGGAAAATGAGCTATGTAACAATTGTATATCTTGCTGAGATGATCAAACTTGGTATTCAGAGTTTTTTCATCTGAGGTCATTTAGTGTCTCATTTGAGCAAGTTTAACCAAGTCAAATTTGGTCAAATGAAAAAACAACACTTTGACTCTAGTATTATGAACTCTAAATGACTTCAAATTGAAAAGTTTTGAATACCAAGTTTGTTCAACTCATCAAGATCTACAATTCTTGTTTTGGTCAACTTTCCATTTGAGATAGTTTGGATGGTTCAAATTTATGATTTTTAAATTTTGAATAAATATCCGGATAATATCCGTTTTTAAATATCCGGATATATCCGATACTTATCCGGATTATCCGATATCCGCCGGATATCGATGATATTACATCCGTATTTGATATCCGCCTAAGATATCCGTTTTAGTATCCGTATCCGAAAAAAAACCGGATATCCGAGTAACTATCCAGATAAGTGTTCATATTTGTTCGGTGGAACGGACGGTTGAATAAATATCCGTACCGTTTTCATCCATAGGCACAACGCAGCAACGTCAACTGATGGAGCCGCATGTCGATCACATCCATCGGCAATTCGACAAATTTACTAGAAATTACAACTGTATTATTAGCTACTAGTGTGCTGCACTGCAAATCAACACGACTGTCCGTCCCCTTTGGCCTTTTTAAGCTACTAGTACGTTGCGCGCGCCCTTGCGCGCGTGGCCAAGTGGATGGTCGATGCTGCTATGAAATATACATGCTAAATAAATAGATTGCAAGAGGATTAATTAAGACCAGGGTGGATAACAATCACATAAATTTAGTAACTTGCCTACATCATGGAACAGGGTGGCAGTCTGGACATAGACTAACATTGGACTAAAATTGGATGGGCACAGTGATTTTGGACAATGGGTTTCGTCATTAGTAGTAGCAATGTAAAAGAGGACTGGTACGCCAGAAGAAAGGCATCAATGTATCTAAATCAAGCTATAGCCCTACTAGAGAACGATGAATCATCAGGTTGCAGTTGCAGACATCTAAAGCTATATCAGTATAGCATGCATAGCATGGAGCCATGGACTGAGTTTGGACTCTCGAAAGAAATTACATACATCGCACAAGGAGGAGGCAACTTAACACTTATCCAACATTTATATATATTATTTGTGTCTGGTTCCTGAATCCTGAACATTTGCATACTGCATATATATCACCCTTGTGCATATATACGCATTACCTAGATGGGGTTGTGGCGAGCTGGTGCCTGTCGGCGTCAGGCAGGTGGCGGGGTGGTGTCAAGGCAAAGAAAGGCGGGCGGCGTTGACTGAGCAGCCCCACGTGATGGCGGGCACGGTGGCGGCAGGGCGGCCACCACATCAAATGGGCCGGTGAAGCGCTAGGGCTGCCTGTTGTCGAGCAAGGGGCTCCTCTGTGAGGCGGGCACCGAGGTGGCGCAAGGTCTCACTGGGCAAAGTGGTGGGTCGGCCTCACGCTTTCGGTTTTCATGGCGGGGACAGGCGTGGGCAATGGTGGTGGTGCAGCATCACAGGCGGGGTGGAGGTCGGACGGCGGAGAGGCAGGCGGGGTGGGGAGGAGGGGCTGGAGTGGGAGGGAGGGGTGGCGGAGGGTTGCGGTGGAGGGCGTGCGGTCGGCAGGCGTGGGGGAGGAGCTCGACGACGACAGGCGTGGGGAGCACGATGGAGGGGGGAGGAGGAGGAGCGTGGGGGGGGAGGTCGACGGCTGCACGAGGGAGGGAGGTCGGACGCAAGCGTGCAAGACGGAGGAGGAGGCAGCGTCTGTGAGGATAGAATGGAGAATGGCTGTGAGCCGGCCGGTGCCTAGCTATTTTTGCGGCTGTTTGCAGAGTGTCGGCCCGATCCGACACTCGGCAACGCGTTTTTTTAAAAAATCCCATCAGTTTGCCGAGTGTCGGCCGATGGCGCACTTGCTAAACTACTTAAAAAACCTAAACGCCTAATTGCCGAAAGTGTGTGACGATTGGGTACTCGGCAAACATTTTTAAAAAAAAGTGCCCTCCTATTTTCCCTATTTAAAAAATCCTTGTTCTCCCTTAACAAGAAATTTTAAAAAAGTTTATTACATTGTTTGAAAGTGCCACCTATAAAGACTTTCGGCAAACTTATTTCTATATTTCATGTTGCCCTTTTCTTTCCTCTACTTAATTACTTTCCTCTATTTCATGTTTCACTAATTTCATGAAATGAACTTGCATTACACTTTGTTAGGTGCACTCACAAATGTATATTTCAAGCTTGTACAAAAATTGGACTATTATTTCATGTGTTTGTATATCACGCATCTAAAATTCAATAATTGCGACGAAAGAATTAAAATTACGAAATGGCTCCGAAAAATTGCCAAAAATTCACAAGAAGCGATCTTTGTTCTCTATTGTATATACAAAAATTTTTGAAGTGAAACTCCAAATCGACATTCAAATTGTCTCCTCATCTTACCGTATCTTTCTCAAATCTCATAACACTGGTAGAGAACAAAGCTTTACTTCCGGTGGGGAACCCCCTCTAGTCCCGGTTCTCCACCCGGGAGCAAGCATCCGGGACTAAAGGGGGGTCCTTTAGTCGCGGGTCAGGAACCGGGACTAAAGGAGGACCTTTAGTCCCGGTGGGTAACACCAACCGGGACTAAAGGTGCCTCCTGACATGCCACGATGGCCGACACCTTTAGTCTCGGTTGGTAATACGAACCGGGACTAAAGGTTTTATTTTTCTTTTTTTCTTTTCTTTTCATTTTTTTGTTTTCTTTTCAAAATAGGTTTTCGAAGTCGTATTGTACGCTGCTAATTATACATTTATACGCGCGTATAGTATGTTTCGGTTCAAGCACAATGAATGTATTTAATCACACAATTCAAGCATAGAAATATATATATATATATATATATATATGTATTCTATATTATACCTGGGTACCAAATATTAATTTAGTACCCGAGCCTCCCACCGCACGCCTGGCTCACCGTCCTCCGCAGACTCAGGCACCTACGTCAAGGGGTTTGGGGCAGCCTTCCGGCTCAGCCACCCGGCCCGGCCTTTCGATGACCCAGCCCGGCCTTTCGATGACCCGGCCCGGCTCGCAGTCAGATTTTGGAACCGCTCCCCAACCCATTGCCCACGTTCTCTGCGGTTCAATTCCAATCAGCTCGCGTTTCACCAAAAAAAAAACAGCTCGCTCCGTCCGCAACCCTACCGGCGCCGCGCCCCTGACCCCTCCGGCGCGGCACCACCCTGCACCCATCGGCGCCACCCCTCACCCCTCCGGAGGCAGGTCGCAAGGTGTTGACAAAGCAGACTTGCAAGGTTGGGGCTGGGTCCGCGAGGCGCAGGTGCCGGGACTGACCTTGGCGATCTGGTCCAATGTCGGTGAGGCCAAGCAGCCAGACATTCATGTGGCCTGCTGGGGAGCGTGGAGCCCGATGAGATCCAACCACAGCTATCACAGCCATGGCTCCTGCAGTGCTGGTGGCACACAGGTATTCCATTCTGTCCCCCGGCATCTTCATCTGACATCGTCGCGTCCTGCAACTCTCCCATGATCCAGATCCATATGCTGAGGCACCCCTCTCCATCTAGACTGGGTAGACATCAAGTCTTCGGAAATTATCTCTTCCCCTCATCTTTTAAATATGGTCTCGATTAGTCATTTGTGGCAATCCTATTGGTCTTACCCAATGGTAATTTCTCATAATTTTGTTCTTGTTCAGTCATAGGTGAAGGCGGTCATGGTGGCTTTGCGGAAGGGCTCGATAGACTGTCTGTTCTTACTGTAGTGCCGCCTGCACATTCAGAATTGAAGTGGGACAAACATAGAGCTTCTAATTTTCGCATTATCTGCTGATTTTCCAAAGCCACTACGCTACAGAATAGGATTGAGAAAGTAATCACAAGACTCTTTAATTCTTATCAGTGTCTGATATTGATCTTTTTATATTTTTTTCATTACATATTTACATCTATACGTAGCTGGGAGTTATAATGGTGCATTAACAGATCTAATCATTTTTATTTGTTTGTTTAATTCATATGCAGTGCCATTGTGTGATAATTATTAAATAAATTAGTCTACTTATCTATAGTACAGATGATTCAACATCTCTTTTTTATAGAGATTCATAAAAAAACATCAGAGATTATATATGGATATGCCAACATATTACTTATTTTGAATTTATTCATAGATGGAATTTTTTCACCTCAATTATGATGCTTAGAGCTTATTTCATAAACACCAGTTTTGTTCATCTAGTTGTTAATTAACATATGTGGGTAGAGGAGGAATCAAATTAGATAGACTGATTATGAGATAGTGTCTGTGAGTCAGTACGACGGGGAGACACAAAGGACACCCTATTATATGGTTTCATATAAATGAGAATTTTGTTGTACTGGCATCAGGAATTGCTTTTGATATTAAAATGTTTCTAGAATCACAAATGTCACAATCATTAAAATTAGTGTTCCCTTCTCTCTTTGATGCCTTTCCTTCTTTTTTCATTTTCATTAACTCTAGGTTGTGGTTGTTTTAGTCCATGATGCATACTCCATGAACTATGATGATGCCATCTTTCCTAAAATTACTGGACACACTTTTATCAGGCAAAGTTCAAATGAACTAGAAGTTTCTAATTTTCAGCTTATTAATTCCTGTTGCAGCATGTTCACTTGGGTTTCTATTTTGTTTAGTGATTTTGTGGACACTTATTTATCGTTTTTGGTGGACACATTTTTCTAATCAGGCAAGCTCAAATGAACTAGAAGATTTTGTGGCAGCATGGCATAGAATGCATGAACCATAGGTGAGATTCCAGGTATAATTGAGGGATTTCATAAAATACCTTTTTGATCATACATCACTACTTGATTTCAGTCTCGAATTATCCAGACCAGATTGTACGGTAGTAAATAGCAAGTCTCTTGGATGCTCCGTGTTTGTGTGAATGTTACTATATTGAGTTCTCTCACATAGCTGGTTCAAGAATGAGTTTTTTTAACAGTATCAGATTGCTTCTACTATTAAATTGCCTGATTAGAAAAATAAATTCGCAAGTTATCAACATATCTGCTTTCAGTACGCGATTCCATCTTGTATAGCCATCTGTTAGTTGGTATCTTTCCCGTTATTCTGTATTTTCATTTTACATGCCATGGCCTGAAAGTGGGGACAAATACTTTTGTATGTTCTGCTAGTTTGTGAAGCTGCAACTGCAATGTTGTGCCACTAGGTTTGTAAGCTGTCATCCCCAGCAAAATGTTTAAACTCACATTTGCTTTCAATATAAGCACAACATTTTCTAAACATGAAATAGTTCCTGATTTGATCTTTAATTCACTTTTGTTATTTGAAAAATCATTATAGTCTGTTTCGTCTGAGTCTCATATCCTGGACACCTCCGTAAATGGCAACTCTGAGTATGGGATTCTGATATTCATGTATATGAAACCTTCTCCATGCTCCTCTCATGCTCATGTAGTTTTTACTTAGCTATCCATTTAAGTTCACAGTTTCAAGAATGTTACTCCTGATTCAGTTCAGATCTTACCAGGTGCGAACAAAAGTGGATCTTGTATTGTTTTTTTAACTCCTTGCCATTTCAACTTATTTACCATATTGTTTTGATCCTTCTGAGTACTGGTGTTAAATAATCCACCTATGATAACGTAAAGAACATGTGGATTACATTGCGAACCCTGCAAAGTGCAAATATGTTCTGCTCCATTTCCTTGGCTACCACATGATTAATTTTCTTGATACTTATGTATATTTCTTGGTTGCTCTTTTATCACCATTCACACAAAATAGAAATATTTTAGTCTGCAAATTAATTAAATCTTCCACTCTACTTTCAAAATTTTCTTGCACATGAGGAATGGTGATTTCTTACCCTGGAACGGCCTTGCATTACTCTATATGTTCCTGTCAGTTGTGATGGAAACGTCAAGATTGATGTGGTCTCTAATAATGAATTACACCTACGGAGACTATTTTGATCTTGTCACTGTATTTGCGGTCTTATGTACTTATGAGTTTGCTGAAGTGGTTGTAATAATGAATCACACCTAAGGAGATATTCACCTAAGAAACTATCGTGCATTTGATTCCTACTAGTAATTGTTTTTGGTAGAACACATATTTTCACATTTGAAAAATTACCTAATCAATTAGTGTGGTGTGTCATTATGTGCTATAGCCGATAGGTATTGCCTCTTCTTGTGTTAGTTAGATCAAGTTTCCAGTGAACAAGCATAAATTGTTTTTCTTAACCACAGTTCCCTGCAACTGAACTGAATCTTCTTAGCTTAAGGAATATATCCGTATTTTTTTTCATCTCAGAAGAACTAAATGTTTGTTGCTAAGACCTAATCAGCTACACAATGCAATATTCAAATGTCATATCATGAAAATTTTATATGATAATTTGCTTTATACGTGAACTCTCAGCTTATATAAATAATGTTTGTCTGGATGTAATCTCATATGGGAAGCTATATTGCAATATATATTATTCTTATTGCAATGAATTTCTTTTGATTCTTGTCAGAGTCAGGAGTCTAGGAGTAGTTTCCTAATGGTAAACTTCCGCTGCTTACCATTTCCTTTTCAGCATGATATTTTGTTTGCTCGATGGGTGGCAAAGCATTTCATGTTGCTTTGGAGTGCACACTTCAGAGTTCTGTCACACCCTAAAGTAGGATCAAGTGAAACTATTCCATTTTATGCTTGCACTCTCTTTGCATCTTTACTAATTTTCTCCATTCATCATACTCACAGATTCATAAGCCTTTTTGACATACTCTTTAATTTTTCTATGACAAATTATGCAGGTTAGCAGATGTTTACATGCACGATGATCCAAATCCTCTGATGGCACTTTTCACTAAAAACTTGTGAATGTGGGAATTAGAGCACTTTCTCCTGCTTGTCTGCATCACTATATTCACCATTAAGAAAAGGTAACAACCTTAACTTGCTATTTTGCGTTCTCTGCATGAGAATGACCTAAGAAGTACCATGGTGCCAGCAGCACTTGGAAGTGATTCCCTAATGCAATTTATATGGGTCTATGTGTGAATCAGAGAGCCATTTGTTCATCTTTTGCATACCAAAACTGAAAGGTAAGAAGCTATAACCATTAGTAACACTAGGAGTAGTACTACTTGATATGTCACGGCAGTATAAGCCTTATAATATCTGGAACTGTGATCCAACATAGGTGCCTTCTTTCCAACAATTCAGCATGGTACATATGCATACCATACAGTGCATGTATGGATTCTTTTTGCTAATAAATCTAGGCAGCTTACTTGAACTAGTGCTCACTTGGGTATTCAATGAAATGATAATAATAATTGGTGGTGAGCTGTTTAGTGTGGCATCAATGTCACAAAGGATATACAAAACAGAGTAAGAACCAAGATGATCCACCTAAGACACCATGATATCACACATGCCGTTTTCAGCATCATGTTTTACATATAGCATGGATGCCTCCTAAGTTTCCTGCTACTAATTAGTACTTCTTCCATTCCAAATTATAAGACGTTTTGGCTTTTCTAGATTCATAAATTTTGCTATGCACTTAGATATATATTATGTCTAGATACATAGCAAAAGCTATGAATGTAGAAATGCCAAAACAATCTTATAATTTGGGATGAATACTAGTTAGATTTCATGATCTCTGTTTCCCTTGTTCTGCTAGAGGTTCAGTGTAACGCTAAGGCTGGTGTCGTATTAGAATATGTGCATGTTCTATTACAAGAAAAATGCCTTGCTTTAGATCAAGTTCTGTGAAGTGCAAATGTTTGATCATAATTGCAAACAATTGAGGCTTTTATGGTTCACTCACTTCATTATGTAAGATAGAGAGGTTTTTGCATGTACATATTCATTATCAATAATTAATCTAATTCTATGCTAGATAAAATATAATGGAAGTCTTATCTGGCCACACATAACAATATCTATGACTAGGCTAGTTTGGCCGCAAATATTTGAGGTTTCTATGGCTCCCTAGCTTTTTCAGCACAAGCAGATCAAATTAGCAATGGAAAAAAAATTAAAGAAATACAAGCTAATATTTTCTTAGCTTTTATTGACTATTGAATTTGTCTCTGAGATAGGCAATCAATTACTTCATGAATTTTATACATGTATCTTATATTGCAGGTGTTTTAAGAAGCGACTGTCATAGTGCTTGTGTACTTAATTGACGTGTTAACAAGTCGGGTCTGGGTGCTATGCAAATGAAGGTCAATGTTAGCAGCATCCCAAGTGTTTGCTGAATGGGGACATATAATATAATCAGATAGGAAAATATACATGATAACAGGCCATCATCCAGAAAAGTTGTGTTGCATTGCTGCATTCTACAAATGACATCCAAAGCTCTCAATGATGCAGATTTCAGTTCATCAGAATGAAAGACTTGGATGTCTGTGCGTCATCATTGCAGTTCTACAAAAACAAATGGATGTCTGTGCATCATCTTTGTAACTATGATAACGAACGAAATGGTACTATTTGTGATTAGCATCATGTACTATTGTAAAATATTACGAGAACATTGTCTCCTGGGACCGATTCACAATTCTTAGTAAAATTAAAATAATATTTATAGTTTAGATAATGAATTATCATTGTTGAGAAGTAATTCATCACAAGGAACCTAGTGTAGAAAGAAATTAATGGCCAAATATATGCATCCATGGA